CTTTCTTTCTTTCTTTCTTTCTTTCTTTCTTTCTTTCTTTCTTTCTTTCTTTCTGAGTCAGGGTTTCACTATTTAGTCCTAGCTGGGCAGGAATTGACTATATAGACAAGGGTGACCTCAAACTCACAGAGATCTGCCCACCTTTTCCTCCTGAGTGCTGAGATTAGAGGAATCAACCACCATGGCCAGCTTGGTTGACTTTCCCCTGGGACTTTCTGTTCAAAACAGGAAGGACTTGAACTCACTCTCCTCCTACCCTGCTCTCCCACATTGCTGGGATCACAGGCGCACACCACTGTGCCACACGGCTCTCCCACATTGCTGGGATCACAGGCACACACCACTGTGCCACCCCAGTCTTTGTCCTCTTCATTCTCTCTTTCTTTCAAGTGGAGGATTGTCTAGGGCGCACGTGACACGTGCTGACATATGTCTTTATTCCGATGGCTCACAAATGAGGGCTGGGTGGCTGACATGGTTAGGGTTTCTGTTGCTGTAATAAAACACCATGACCAAAGCAGCTTTTGGGAGGAGAGGGTCATTTCATCTTGCAGCCTGTAGCCCATCATCCAGGGAAGTCAGGGCAGGAACTGATTGGTACAGGGGCTGTAGAGGAGTGCGGCTTACTGGCGTGCTCACCTTGGCTTGCTTGGTTTGCTTGTTGGTAGCATCCAGGACACCAGTCCGGGGTGGCACTGCCCACAGTGACTAGGCTCTCCCGCACCAATCACCAATCAAGCTTGCGCACTGCAGCTTCGCCCACAGGCCAATCCGGTAGGGGCATTTTCCCAACTGAGGTTCCTGTTCCAAAATACCTCTAGCTTGGGTCAGGTTGACATAAAACTAGCCAGCACAATGGTGTATTATTTTATTTCTATTTTAAGTTCTAACTTAATAAAGACAATAGATCTAACGCATGTCGAAAAGCTTTTGGGGTTCCTCAATATCCTTAAAAACTTACGTCTTTGTGCATTTTTGCGCATGTGAATGTAGGTGCCCGGAGGCCAGGGTGTTGGATCTCCCTGGAGCTGGGTTTATGAGCAGTTGAGAACTGCCTGATGTGGGTGCTGGACCCTCTGCAGGAGCAGTGTGCTCTCCTCACTGTTAAGCATCTCTTCAGCTTTTTACAGAGTATAAAGGTGGAAGGAAAAATGTCACTGGACCACTTCCAAGAATGTACTGTGGTACACACACACACACACACACTAGAACATAATTAAAATACATTATCTCCTCTTCTTCAATGCTAGTGTCTTGTTAACGAACCCTTCCCATGGTTCCTTGGGGTCATATCGAGCGAAGGCTGGTATAGGTGGAGAGGCTGCTGGGCTCTGTATGACGGTCAAGTATTACCAAGACAGCTGGGGCAAAAGCTGGAACACTGGCGGGGACCAGGGAGGAGCATGCTGGGCCAGGGAGTCTAAGAGTGAGAACAGACCTCAGCTTACCCCGTCTTTCTACAGATAAGGCTATCGAACTGGTAGGCTCAGACAGACTGACAGTCTTGTGTCTTTCATGACAGGCTTGGAAATGTTCATATTCCCCCTCGAGGCAGAAGAGGACCATCAAAGTCACTGCCTAGGGAATCTCTCACTGCTTGCCTTATCCATATGGGTGCACAGTGTTCTCTTTTCCAGTGCTGAGGTCCATTCTCTGGGAGTCCTACTGACCACAGACGAGGATTAGTGACTGGCTCCTTCTATGACTTCTAGATCTCTATGGCTTCCATCCTTGCTTTAAATAAAAGACCAGAGCCGCCTTGCCTCTCTTGCCCTTGACAGAGCCAGAGCCTCATGAGTATCAGGCAAGCTCTCTACTCCTGAGCTGTGCCTTCAGCCCTTAGGACCCCATCCATCATTTTAGTTTGGTCAGATAACCCAGGCTGGCCCGGAACTCTACATCTTCCTGCCTCACTCTCACAGAGCTGTAATTACTGGCGGTACCATAATTCCCAGCTTATATTTCTCTCACATTTTTAAAGGTTTATTATGTGTCTGTGTGTCCGTGCGGCGGGGTATGTATAAGAGGTGCAGGTGTCCACAGAAGCCAGAGGTGTTACATCCCCCTGGAGCCAAGTTTTAAGCAGTGTGAGTTGCCCAACATGTGTGCGGGCAACTGAATTCCGGTCCTCTGCAAGAGCAGTATGTGTTCTTAACCACCCAACCATCTCTCCAGCCTATTGACTCCCACATCCTAACAAACTGCCAGACTGCTTAGTCTCTTCTTCTGTTTAGTTTCTTTTTCTGCGCTTCTGTCTGGAATTAACCCACAATGTTAGGGGCAGGTCAAGGTCAGCAGCCTGAAGGTCATGATGGCAAAGGGGGGGAGGGGTATTGAGAAAAGACATCCCTGAAGGCTCATCTATTTGAACACTTGGTGATGATGTTGTTTGGGAAGGACATGGGACCTTCAGGAGGCGGAGCCTCACTGGAGGAAGTGGGTCAGGGGTGGGTTTTGAGTTTTTATATCCTTCTCCACATCCTGTCCACTCTCTGCTTCCGGACTGCCCATGGAGTGGGGCAACATTTCATGCTCTCAGCATGCGCCTCCCCTACCATGGTGGTTTACAGCCCTTCAGGAAGTGTAAGGCAAAAGAAACCTTTCTCGTGGAAGTTGCTTTTGTTAGGGGGGTGCTTTAATTGCAACAGTGGCCACAGAAAAACAAACAAAGAAACAAAATAAAACCTAATACAGGAGAAAAGAAGCGGGGCTTATTATTTTGGTTCTACTTGCTACAAATTTGAGGGCGATATATTCATTTAAATGAGCCAAGCTGGAATGCTGCACTTGGACATAATTCCCCACGTACTGGATAAAGAGATGTAGGCATGTTGTGTTCCTTTTCTGTCGCTGTGATAAACTTGCACACTCAAGGCAACTTATAGAAGACAGTTTATTTGGGCTCATGGTTCCAGAAGAACAAGGGTCATTTGGGCTCATGGTTCCAGAGGAACAAGGGTCCATCACGGTGGGGTGGGGAGGCTCGGCAGCCAGACGCTGGCAGGACAGCAGGAGACTGAGAGATCACATTAACTGCAAGCACAAAGCAGAGCTGAACTGCAAATGGGGCGTGGCTTTACCCCCTCACAGCCCTCCTGCAAATGGGGCGTGGCTTCCCCCCCACAGCCCTCCTGCAAATGGGGCGTGGCTTTTTCCCCCTCACAGCCCTCCTGCAAATGGGGCGTGGCTTTTTCCCCTCACAGCCCTCCCTAGCCACATACTTCTTAAAACAAGGCTGCACTTCCCGACAACCTCTCTAAACAGAGACCAAGTGTTCAGATGCCTGAGGCTACATGGGGCACTTCTCATTCAAACCACCATACATGTGCTTTGTATCGGGGCTCCTGAAGCTCCTTCTGGGTGGGAATTGGGGGCCTGAACAGGGTGTGAAGGAGCCTGGAAAGGCAGAGGTTGCAGGATGCAATGCCCGGGGCTCATCTATACTATTTGTCTATCTTCCCGCAGCCTTCATCATCAGTCACTGAAACGGTATCAAGCACCTTCTGTATCCCTACCCTGTGGTATCACCACATAGTGCCATGGTGAACAGGATAGGTATGTATGCCCTAACCTCAAGGCGCTCACTAGAGGCAGGAATCCAATCATCAAAGAGAGAACAAATACAGCCGGGGGGACCAGAGACAAGTGCGGGCTGGTGTGAAGTGCACCGTGTGGAATCCTCCCTGAGCCAGGACAGGAGGAGGCAGGAAGGTTCCAGGCAGGAGAGGACAGGGGTGAAATGCAGCAACACAGGAAGGAGAATGCCTCGGGGAAGGGCTGCAGAAGCTGCAGCCCCGGAAAGAGAGGCAGGAAAGACAAGTGGGAAGAAGCAGGTTTTCTCCAGCAGAGGCTGGGAAGGCCACGGGGGCCTGGTTTGGCAATGCCTTCTAAGGCTCATCAGGAATTTTGTCCTCAAGAAGAAGGCGTCTGCAGCGGCAATGCAATGCCACAGGTGGGATTTGCAGTCTGTCAGCAGCGTCCAGGCTGGAGTCCAGGCAGGGGAGAGTGTGGGGCAGATCCAGACGGCTGGGACGTCCAGGGCAGCTGGGAGGACTGGAGTATAATGGGGTCCTGAGATGACAGTTTCTCCAAGTTTAGACCAAAGATTCTCTCTGGGGGACAGCAAGGCAGGCTAGCAGAAGACAGGGCTTCACCTCTGGCCCCACTGGCCTCCCTCAGCAGAGTCACATCATGCACCTGTCGATAAGGTAGGAACGAGCTTTATGCTCACGATAGGGAAACTTAGGACTAGAAACAGCCATGACTAAGGGACGCAGTGGCATGTGGCTGAAGCTGGTCAGTGCCAGTGCTCGTACGTCTAGTCCTGGGCCGTCAGTGCATCAGGCCTAGGCCTTAGTCCTTGTCACCCTCCTGGAGGGGCTCTAGGCAGCCCGGATCTTTGGTTTCTTCTCCAGATACTGCCAGAGGGTCAGCGCCTTCGCCAGGGCTTCCGTTAAGGACACCTCCATCAGCCTCCATCTTCTCCTTCAGGTTCCGTTTGAAGAAGCCAACCTGTCGGAAGCACACATTGAATGGACACACGTCCAGAGACCGGCCGCCCCACAAGACCTGAAGATGTCCAGAGACCGGCCTCCCCTGCAAGACCTGAAGACGTCCAGAGACCGGCCGCCCCTGAAAGACGTGATGTCTTATGCTGACAGATAGGATACAATGGCACCTGCTTGGAGGACGGGGGATATCTGCATGTTTGCTTCTCAGAGATATTTATTTATTTATTTATTTATTTATTTATTTATTTATTTATTTATTTATTTATTTATTTATTTATTTATGTTTTTCGAGACAGGGTTTCTCGGTGCAGCTTTGGAGACTATCCTGGATCTCACTCTGTAGCCCAGGCTGACCTCAAACTCACAGAGATCCACCTGCCTCTGCCTCCTGAGTGCTGGGATTAAAGGTATGTGCCACCACCGCCTGGCAGAAATATTTATTTTTAAGGGGCAGTGAGCTGGCTCCAGGTAAAAACATTTGCCGCACAAGTCTGACCACTAGAATTTAGTCCCCAGAGCCACAGTGGAAGGCGAGAACAGACTCCCGAAAGTTGTCCTCTGACCTCCACCTGGGGCTATGGCATGCTTCCCCCCCCCCCATCAATAAGAGGGAAATTTTAAATTTTTTTTTAGATTTATTTTTATTATTTTGCATGTATGAGTGTTTTGCATGTCTGGTGTGTGAGGAGGTGGTGAGTCTCCATTTGGGTGCTAGGAATCGAACCAGGGGCATTTGAAAGAACACAAGTGCTCTTAACCACTGAGCCAATTTTCTAGCCCACAAATGAAAAACCATTTAGGCTAGGTGTAGTAGTGCATGCCTTTAATGCTAGCACTCTGGAGTCAGAAGAAGGAGGATTTCTGTGAGTGTAAGGCAGCTTGACCTACATCAGAAGTTCTAGGCAGCCAGGGATGCATAGTGAGACCATGCCCCCTCCACCCCCCACAAAAAAAGAATAAAATTAAAGAAATAGATGTCTTTGAAATCTTGTGACTACTTTAAAAAGCTTTAAGTTTGATAATTTCCTTTTTAGACTCCTTAGAATGTCATGCATCAGACAGGCATGGTGGCCCGAGATCACAGTCCCAGAATTCAGAAGGAAGGACAGGAGGATCTTGAATTTTCGCCATCTGGGCTGCAGACTGATCCTCTCTTTAAAAACGTCATGTGGGCTAATGCTGTAGTTAGTTGATAGAGTGCTTGCCTAGTGTGTACTCTGACTCCCACACTGCAGAGGGCAGTGGGGGGGGCCGGCCTGTGTTCCTAGCACTAGGGAGGTGGAGGCAGGAGGTTCAGGGATTCAAGATCATTTTCGGTGACTTAGTAATTTATCAGGTCAAGGCCAGCCGAAGCCTGTCTCAAAACACAAAACAAAACACAGAACAGGGGTTGGAGAGAGGGTACAGGAGTAAGGAGTGCTTAATGCTTTTGGGGGGGCCTGGGTTCCGTCCCCAACACCTCCTGTGACTCTCTCTTCTAACCTCCCTCTGTGGGCTCCTGTATATATAAGGTGCACACACACACACACACACACACACACACACACACACACGTCACATATAAATCTGTTAAGTAGGTGATTTTCTTTTCAGGGCTAAGACTGGAACCCAGGGCCTTCTGCATGCTTGCCAATTGCTCCACCACTGACAGACACTCTTAGATATCAGGTGGGTAATCTGACAATACCTTCTAACAGGAAGAATCTCTAGTGTAGTGCTTAAATATGTGCTGTGCACACTCTCCTGAAAGCTTAACATTGTGTGTGCACACATTTGTGTTCCAGTGTCTCCATCTCTGAGAATTAATTCTAAGAATATTTGGACAAGTGTGGAGAGTGGATAACAACGGCTGATTTGCCCCCACGGTTTAGATAGATGCAAATGAGAAACCGTCTACAGTACAGATGTTATATGATCCATAATAGGGCAGTTGTTAAATAAAGACAGAGCACTGGGGCAGCAGGAAATTAACCAAGTTCAGGAGGAGGAGGAGGAGCTGACGGTGGCCATGGAGAGGGAGACATCAGGACAAGGCATTACGTGGGAAACACAAGCCAACAGGCTGTGCAGCTCTACCCCATTTTTGCCTCTCTTCTGCTGTGGGATGTTCCGTATGCTATAAATATATGCTGCTATGATTGATTGATAAATAAAACACTGATTGGCCAGTAGCCAGGTACGAAGGATAGGGTAGGCGGGACAAGGAGGAGAAGAATTCTGGGAGGTGGAAGGCTGAGGCAGAGAGACGCTGCCAGCCGCCGCCATGACAAGTGAGATATAAGGTACTGGTAAAGCCACAAGCCACATGGCAACTTATAGACTAATAGAAATGGGTTAATTTGAGATATAGGAACTAGATAGCAAGAAGCCTGAGCCATTAGGCCAAACAGTTTAAATAATATAAGCATTGTGTGTTTATTTTATAAGTGGGCTACGGGACTGCTGGGGCTTGGTGGGACCCAGAGAGAAACTCTCCAGCTACATTCTCCCTTATCTTTTAAAAAAATTTTATGTGCATTGGTGTTTTGCCTGCATGTATGTCTGTGTGAGAGGGTTAGATCCCCTGGAACTTACAGACAGTTGTGAGCTGCTCTGTCGGTGCTGGGAATTGAACCTGGGTCCTTTGGAAGAGCAGCCAGTGTTCTTAACCATTGAGCATCTCTCCAGCCCCTTTCCGTTAACTTTTGAGACAGGGTCTCCATAGGCACCTTGTGCTGGCCTTGAACTTTCAGAGAGTCTATTCTGACTGTAGGTGAGCACCATTGCACCCAGTTTCATTTCTGAAACTCTGGAGCCTTTCTCATGGAACACCTGTCCTCTGTCCCTCTTTGTTCCTAATGTTTACTTCTCGTCCAAACTTCAGTTCAAATGCCACCTCTTCTCGGTGGCCTTCCCAGGTCCTCCAGCCTGTGTCAGGTGCCTCCATTACAGGTTCCAGAGTACACAGGCCCGGCACAGCCTTCTTTAGCTCACTCCTGTCTGTGTCCTGCATTCAACTGTGAACTTCATATGAGTGGGGGCCACGTTTATATTGTATGGCTCTGTTTCATGGGGCCTTGTACAGTACCTGGCACCAGAAGGTCCCCAGTATATGGGTACCTCCTTTCTCTTTCCTCTCTCAACCTGGTCCTGTCTGGCCCAGTGCTGAACTGAGGGATGGTGAAGTCTCTCCCACTTGTTCTTTGAGGTTTACAGCCCGAGCCGTGGAAGGATGGGGTGAGCTGAGGCTTGCTCTGCCTCTTCTCCTCCCTGGCCTGGCATGCTCCGCCCTGGTCCCTGCCAGCGTCCCCACACCCCCTTTGCCCCAGCTGTCTTGGCGGTTCTTAACCCCCTGGAAGCTCCTACCTTGTAGAGCGCTAGGAAAATCAGCACCAGCAGCACTAGGCCCCCAATGCCGCTGAGTACATAGAGGTGCAGCATCTCCTTCTCGAAGACCACATCAACCTTCGTGAGGACCTGGGGAGGAGAGCTAGGTGAGGGCAGGAAAAGGCTACGCACCCTAAACGCCCCTGCGTGCCCAGTCTGCCCCTAGTCTTATTTCTTTTTTTTTCTTTTTCTTTTTTTTTTTTTTTTTTTGGTTTTTCGAGACAGGGTTTCTCTATGTAGCTTTGTGCCTTTCCTGGAACTCACTCGGTAGCCCAGGCTGGCCTCGAACTCACAGAGATCCGCCTGCCTCTGCCTCCCAAGTGCTGGGATTAAAGGCGTGCGCCACCACCGCCCGGCCCCCAGTCTTATTTCTTAGGTGTGGGTTGCATCACAGCGTTGGGCTCTGGCCACACAGCCTTTTCCATAAATGTTGTCACCCACTGCCCAAACCAGCCACTTGGCCACATGTACCACAGGCTGCCCTGAGACTTACGTGGTTTGTTTGCCGTTGGCCCCAGTAGGAAGCACCTCAGCTGAGCACTCAAAACCCAGAAGAACCTGCTCTCTGGGTTTAGGTCCATCTTCTGGCCACCCTGAATTGCCTAATCCTCGAACCCTGGGCCTCCGTGCTCACTGCTTGGCTGGTGGACCTTTGCTAAGTACCATTGCGCTGATCTTTAGCAGACACCTGGGTCTATGACATCTCAGACAAGTGACCCTGCGGTTGACCTGCTTCCCAGTGAGGTGGGACCGCCCACTTCACAAGGATTTGGATCAGAGGAGGCTCTGACGGGGGCCAAGCTTCCCTTCTCCCATGGGACCCCCTCCTATGAGCTCTGCATGGGCTCCCAAACCTCTATGCTGTCTGTCCTTGGGCTTCTGAGATCTGTACCTGGGCCATGGAGGCTTTGCTGCCATACAGATGGAAATGCTTGCTGCTGTTGAAGGAGATGGAGAGTGAGCTGCAGAGGCTGAGCGTGGAGGAGGCCTGTGGAGGAAAGAGCGTGTCTTCAGAACAGGCCTGAGACCCTGGACTTCCACCCATGTGCACAGGGTAGGAAAGGACCCAATCTTCTGCCTCATCTTATTTCTCTACTGTGATGGTCTAACGTATCACTCTCTCCCCAGTGTCAGAGTGGCGTTTCCCAGAAGGAACATGTAACTACCCTTGGCAACCGTGGGACATGGCTCTCCTCCCAGTGCTTGGGAGGAACGGTTGGAAGATCATAAGTTGCAGGCTGGTCTGGCTACATAGTGAGACCCTAACTTAAAAGCGAGCAAAACTGGATGTGGTGATGCACGCCTTTAATCCCAGCACTTAGAGGCAGAGGCAGGCCCATCTCTGTGAGTTGCCGGCCAGCCTGGTCTACATAGAGACTTCCAGAGTGACATAGAAATCCTGTCTCAAAAAACCAGAACCAAAAAAAATAAAATAAAATAAAATAAAAATAAACAACCTCCCCCCAAAAAACAACCCCATAAATTTCAAACAAATCCCGGTGGTTCATTGTGGTTTGTTTGCACCTGTGAGAACCGGGGTGTTATTCAAGAAGAGACCAGTTGAGGGAGCCCAGGTGGGAAGCCCATCCCCATGACTCCTAAGGCAAATGGATCCTCAACGCGGCCAGCTACAAGCAGGCAGTACCTTGATCTCCTCCGAGAGTTCCACTGTCCCGTTCACTTGGATGAGGGTCTCCCACCTGAAGACGATTGGGCATCGGAACAGAATTCCAGGTAGACAAGGCTGCTGTGGTCAGGAACACCAGTCAGAGAGGTCCACCATTCCCAGCTTATGCCCACCTCCAGCCTCATTCCACAGCTCACACCCCCATACCTCAGCCTCACTAGAGGGCATCTTCAGGTCCTCACGGTGGCAAGTGACAGGAGGATCCTAGGAATTGGAGGTGGGGTCTTCAGTAGGTTTGAGGCCTCCTCCTCCCCCACAGAACTCAGGCACCCCACAAGATAAT